ACACACACACACACCTTGTACACACGTACACACACACACACACACACACACACACACACAATGCACTGTTTTCTCTCTTCCCCCTCCTCTCTCTCATTCCATCCCCTCAGCTTGATGACTTTTCCATGAAAGGCTTTTTCATTAATCCTACCTCAGGGAACCGGTGCTCTCCAACCTCACACACACTCACAAAACACACTCGCATGCACAACATACACACAGAGACCTCCCTCCATGGGTCACTTTGATGTATCAACGCACTTGCAGACTAAACACAAAATTAGGTTCCAGTTCTTTATGCCTCCTAAAATGCAACATATACAAAGGCACACACACAACACACACACACACACACACAGAGGCCATTAATTAGTGTGTGCAAATAAACAGTAGTAAGGGAAAGGGAAGTGGCTCCAGTAAAAACCAACCACAGTCTTTGGTCTCTGTGTGTTTTATTTCCCCCTGCTGGTGTTTGCTTCTGCATTTCTGTGTGTGTGTACGTAGGTGTGTGTGTGTACGTGTGTGTGTGTGTGTGTGTTCATGTTCATTTGAGGTGTTTCAACATCAGTTGCAATGGAACTGTGTTGCTTTACCTTCAAACTTGAGACCTAAAAATACATTTCCTGCTTTTGTTAAGCACAGTATGCTGCTCTATATGCACTGCAAAAAATATTGTGTGTGATGTGAAAGCACCCCCCGCCTCCAAACACACACTCCCACACACACATATTCACAACTTCATCCCTCTTGCACATTCTTGCTGTCTGTCTGTAATTTTGAGTGTGTGAATATATGTATGTCTACCTGTGTGTGTGTGTGTGTGTGTGTGTGTGTGTCTCTCACTGTCTTTGTGCCTGTGTGTCTATGTGTGTCTCTCAGTGTCTTTGTGTGTGTGTGCGTGTGTGTGTGTGTGTGTGTGATATCTGATGTCAGCTGTCACATCCCAGTCGGTCTGGGCCCATAATAAGAGACAATAATAACAACTCATTAAAACCGAGGGCAGGAACTGTGGAGCTCATCGGCTCATCAAATTAACCTTTGAACACTTCATACACACACATGCCACACACACACACACACTGGTGTGCACTCACACACACGCACACTAGCTACCTGTTTTTCTCCCACAGTTAGTGACTACACAATCTTTCTCTCTGTCTTTTTGTCTCTCTCCATCTTCCCCCCCTTCTCAGCCAGTGGGTGTGTCAACAGGGGATTGGTCCTTTCTGCTGGGTAATTGATGAATTATATGCAATATGCAAATGAGGCGCCATTAATCTCCTGACTGACAGCTTCGTTTATGGGGCCTTAATGACGGCTGGATTAGATTCTAATTAAAATCTGCTCAAAGACACCCCACGCTAGGAAGCTGCTGCTGCTGCTGCTAGTCTATCTCTCCTTCTTTTTTTTTTTTAACCGTTCCCACCTTTTCTCACTCTCTCGGTCTCACCCATCTCTCATTTTACATCTCTTCACCTTTCCCTCCATCTCCCTTTTCATCTTTGTTGTTCTTTCTGCTTCTTTTGCTCTCTCTCACACCTTCTGCATCTCCTCTTTCCCCTCTTTCCTCTCACTCTGTCTTTTAACATCACACACACACACACAGACACACACACACACTTCACAGACACATGTGCACACTTGCCCACAGACTCATGTTATCCAATGTCAGGCTGGTATGAAAGGAGATGAGCTGCGCTGGTTGTCATTAAGCCTGATGTGGCCTGTGTCATTTCCCCTGTCAGGACATTCACACCGTTTAGTCAGAGCCAAAGTGATGTCTGACAGCTTTTCACATACTTCCTCCAGGATTGATTGAGCATGCCCGTCTCAATCAAACCATGTGAATCTGCTTGTAGTCACAGCCTTTATTGAGGAAATTTGTGACATGGCGGGAAAAAGGGAATGAATGGCCAAATGAGGAAAGGATGGAAAGGGAAGGAGGCGAGCAAACACATTTAATAAGCAAACAAATGAAAGAGTAAGCTGAACAGTAATGAGGTGCTTTATTGATGCCATAGGGAAACTCCTTTTTTGCTTGCTCGTATCCACGGGGAGGTCAGATTTGCTGTACAGCAGCCTTCCTGGAAGCGGTCAGGTTTCAGTGTTTTGCTTGTTGACACTTCAGCAGGATCAGAGGTTTACAGAGTGAAGGACAGTTTCTCTAACCAGGCCACCCATCTCACTCTCAGCATGAAAAGCGCACTGACTGAGGGAGTAAAGTATTAAACTGCCTAATGACTAATGTTAGCTTGTGTTTTCTGCCTGCAGTTCGAGGCCCGGACGACCGCCCAAGAGGCTGCAGAGTGTGACAGAGGGCGGGACTCACCACATGCTGTCCCACAGCGGGCTGATGCACGCTGGAATCATGCCTTCTGCAGGTGACCACCCAGGCCTCGCCACGCACATACAGTACATATGCAACCATATGCACACATGTGTCTTAGAAACAATATCACACAGGCGCACAGACATACTAAACTAGCACTTGCTGAGAGGAATCATTTCTGACACCATATAATTATGATGTCCACTGTGCATCTTAAATGGACTAGTCTGCCATTTTATTCAAGTTTCAAAATTTGCAAAAATGTGGTAAAAAAAAGAGGTGTTCTTGTATTTTTTTTTATTTTTTATTATTTTCTCCATAATCAGAGAGCTACAAAACACAGTCCTAATCAGGATCTCCGTTCTGTAACTTGTGCCCTCAGTTTGCATGTTAATAAAAAAAACTTTCAGGGAAAAGCACTATGCACAGTACAGTAGTATTTTCCTTTTTTGTGACTGAGGAGGTCAATCAAAAAATCAGCTCAGTTCTGTAGTTAAACCCTCATCAACGATGGTGGTGATTGGTCAGTGACACATCAGAGCCCGTGGTCGGACCAGATGGCATTTTAGGAACATAAAGTTTTAAAGAGGAGAACAATGAAATGGAAGGTAGCAGTAGTAGTGGTATTAATAAAAATGTTCTATGTGTGGGGGGAAAAATGCAGTTAATGACACACATAGTATTTCAATGCAAAGTATGCAGAATATTCAATTTATTATATATTATTATAATAAATAATATAATAGGCTACATTATAAAAACTACTTGTGAGCTAAATTAAAAGAAAAATAATAAGTACAATCGAAAAAATATGTTACTCATTTTAATAAACCTTTTGACTCAATTATAAATGTATGTAAACATGCATACATTATGTATAATTGATATCTGTTTATTTTAGAAACCACACACAAAATTCAATAATGTTGAGAAAGACTTGAGTCATTTGGGCTCTGTTCATTTTATGAAAGTTTCTGTCAGAAACTGTCACTAAATTGTCTCTAACAGTAATTACACATTTGTGCTTTTAATACTGCTGCACTAGATCCACTATTACTCCTTACTTTAAAAACACTTTCATATATGTGTAGCCCAATAAAGTCCACAGTGCTATTTTCAAATAATTAAGTACAATATGATAGAATTGGGTTCCACTAAAAATGATAGATAAATCTTAAAAATAAAAAAGAATGAACAAAATTCACATTAAAGTTTAAAAGCATGGCCAAATCCGTTCAATTCACCTGCCAGTGTATTCTGTATTAAAGATTCATTAAAAGGAGAAAGCCCCTCTGACTCTCTAAATCCCTCTTTTTCACAAGCTTTTCATAAGGTCAAGGTTTGTAATTCTTCCGAACTGTACAGAAGTCACAGTAGAAATCCCTCCAGGAGCTGTTTTAAAGACTGAATTAGTGTCATATTGTTGCTTCAGCCCTCAGAGGAGCTGTTAGTAAAGTTCAGATTTTGTTCTCTTCTCAGCGGTCGGAAAGTGAAAGCAGTGACCTGGCAACCAGCTGCGTTACCCCCATCAGTTTAAAGAAAGAAACAGGTCGCTTAATCAGAATAGATACATGATGGGGCGGTTGTCTACTTTCCCTGCAGACCCCCATAATGACACACAATACCCAACATCAATAGCATGAGGAGGCGGGGTTCTGGGAGGCAACCTGTGTTGTAGATTAATACAATTAGCATACACACTGCTGACGCACGAGAAACAACTCATAACTTGCAAGTTGGTCTTTTTTTTTCTAGAATTATAAGCACACAAAGTCTTTTGTTAAGTTGAGAAAGATTTATAATCCTTAGGCCTCTGATCAATTTTATAAAAAGCTGCTGTTTAAAAGCACAAGATTGGAAGTGTCTTTAATTTGTTTGTGACTGTACATTGTCCCTCTTTTGTAAACAACACTGTAACCTATTAATTGTCTCTTCAAGTATGAAATTAAGGTTAAGGATAATAAACTGTTTTTATCGTAATAGTAGTAAAATGAGCAAAAATGTTAATATGTCTGAAGGAAAATTTGTATTGTTAGAATCTGTCTTAGTCAACTGCCTGCTTAAGGCCATAGTGCTTCTTGTCGCAAACAGTGGTGTGTTTGAGTCCCTATTGTGGTGTGTTTGTGTGTGTGTGTGTAGCACAGAGAAAGGGAGAAAAGTAATTGTTGGCACCTCGCCGCTCTCAAAGTTGCCCTTGGCTTTGTGCTCTTCACTGCAACCTGATCTTTTCATTCCCCGCCTCAAAAGAAGCCATTTTCTGTTAGCGCCGCTTCCTCTCACTGTTCAAAGGTGCTCGAGTGTGTGTGTGTATGTGTGTGTTGTGTATGCGTTGAGTGTTCAAGAGCATCTTTCTCAGTGGGAAAAGAGTCTTTTTCCACCAAAGGAGAGGGCACGGCGGCAATGTCAGCGCCACTGATTAGAACTGGCCACATGAGAGGCGAGAAAGAGACAGAGAGAGGGAGGACATTTGAGCGTAAAAGGCAGGGAAAATCTTTGATGTGATCCTCCTTAGTCTCTTTTTCTCGCCCTCTTGCACTCGCACATACACACATGCAACACGGTGGCTTATGTCCTGCTGTGATGCTGACATTTGAAAAGGTAAAGTAAGGAGAGGGGATGGGAAGAGAGCAGGAAAGAGGGCATGAAAGAGAAGGAGAGAAGATGAGAAGAAAAGGAACAATTTGTTGTGGTTGCCGACTTCTCGGACGGACAGACTGTTCACCTCAGACAACCGTTTTGTAGGAAAAGGAAAGCACTCAGCATTTCAGTTTGTTGCGAATGTTTTCGATGTATCCAAGATCAGGAAATTAAGACTTATGGTTTGTTTGCATTTCCTCAGCGGTGTTTGCACAGTTGCATCGTTTGTCCAACTTTAATAATTCACTGTGTTTGTCTGTATTAGTGCAAGAGATATTTAATTTTCTGGCGCATAAGATAGAGTTTTAGGGGTCAAACTACCTTCTGAGGTTCAAGACACAAATTAAAATGTGGCTCAGCCCTCCTGCCACATTTTGTCACTCTCCATTTCGCATGAGCCAAAAGTGCTCAACCCCTATTAAAAACTATCTTACTTTTTTTTTCCTAATGCTTCTAATTTATACTGATAAAGAAGCACTTTCTGGGCTAAAAGGTGGAGTGTCGTCCTGTGTGCTGTGCTGTGGGATAAGATGTCCCTGTGTGGGAGAGATGAATGTCTTGGCTTGTTCCTATCACTGCTGATTCCCTGGCAGACTAAATGGCCAGTGCAGCGGTGCAGTCAGAATGAATGGCTGGCCTCTGTCTTCCCATGACAACCTCCTGCCTACCCACTGCTCTAATCCTCCACCGGGGCCATTGATCTGGCTCTTATTGATTCCTTCTCTTTCTTTCTTTGCTTCTTTTTCTTTTTCTTCCTCTCTATATCTGTCTCTTTTTCAGATCTGTCTGCCCTGGCCAAGAAGATCAAGCTTGAGGCGATGGCCAGTTACCACAGCAACCAACAACATGGCGGGCCAAACGGAGAGAATGGTGACCACAACCCCGGACTGGGTGAGTTTCATGCGTTTGTCCATCCAAACAAATGTTTGTGTGTTTGTGTGTTTGTGTGTGTGTGTGAAATGTTTAATTACGGTCGTATAACACGTCGCGCGGTTGTTGTCTGTACACATCTGCGACGCCAAGTCAATACGACTTGAGCAGCTGTGTTTATGTGCGGCTGCTGAACCAGGCTGATTAAAACCAGGATGTGACATCACCTCTTCTGCCTGCACGTTTCCTCTGAGAGATGATTGAATGAAAAACAAACTACAGCAGCAACGAGTCAGTTGGAAAGATGGAATTATAAATAGACATCTGGGTCAGGTAATCCAAACCCTCAAAGCATAAGGAGCTGATTTTTTTATATATATAAATGTTTTTTATCACCAAAATGTCCCCCCCATTTTTGATAAATTTCTATAAGGAGTGAATATTTACTTCAGCTTGGTTCTGTTTGCATACTTGTGGGATTCAACGTATCCTGAAAAACAGTCGGTCATCCGCTCTGTGGCTTCAAAATGTTGCCGGCAAATCATTAGTACATATTAGTCATCACATCAAGAGATCGTATAGACACAAACTGGCTCAGTTACTCATGCTCAATATGTCTTTGGTCTCTTATACTGAGTAACATTAGCTCAGGATTTACTGGAAGAAAGTCTTTGCTTTCCAAAGCTAGGTAAGCAGTGTGTTCTCATTTACAGTTAAGTCTCTTTGTCCCTGGAAAGCACAGAATCACCTCATTTTGGAACTAAATCCCTTTGGCTACTCATTACTTGTGCAGGTAGAATTTTTAGTCACATGTTATTAAAAACTGTTCCCTTTTCTGCAACCGATCCCTGGCTTTGCAGTGAAGGAGAGCAGCCGGCGAAAGTGGAGCACCAGCGGACGAGAGCAAACGCACCGGGATGATAGAGAGATGAATAAGATGAGAGGCTGAAGCCAAATCAATAGTCTTCTCTCTAATTCACTATCCTGAATGCAAACGACAAATGCTGGACAATCGATGGTGGAACGGACGCGCACGCACGCACGCACGCAAACACAAATGCACGCACACACAAACAAATCGGACACACCGCCCCCCACTGTTATCGACAGGTTAAAGTGACATCAGTGTGTTTAGACAGATGACAGGGCTTATGGAGGCCTGTGTGGAATACACTATGAACCTGGGACACATACACACACTTATGTGGCGCATACTGCAAGGCTTCAGGACAGAAATGGAAAAAAAGATATTGTCCTTGTGTTTTTCAGAAATTAAAAGGAGACTAAAGTAAAAGCATGTTTAAGCCCACTTGTTTTTGGCTTTGACTCTCTGTGTGTGTG